CTGGTTGCATCCTTGGTCTTCAAAGTAGGGTTGAGCTCCTTGCTAATAGAAAATGAAGTGGTAATGGCATCAGTTAGCCTAATTATTATCTGTATTGATTTTGATTAACTGTGTATCTTGATGGCTGTAGCACTTGTCCATGAAGCAAGAATGTAGTGGAATAACTTCTTTTGAATGCTGTGGAGTGCTTATCCAAAGAAAATGACAAACTCATATCATTATACCCTCAGTTTAAGTCATGTTCAGAGAACTAAAAAGCATCTGCAAGGGCCTAAAATTAATATTTTTATAATGGCAGAGCTGACTTTGCTGACAATGAGATGCAAAATTTAGTTGTGTGGGGTAGAGTTACAATGTAAGTTGAATTCACGTCTTTACTAAGTTTCTCACTTGAAAACTAGGGCTTTCACTGGGAAAGAATGATGCTTGAAATGGGGACATCCGGGTGATCACAGAAGAAGCTGAAAATCTGGAGCTCTAGAATCACTCTGAGTCTCTCTTGACAGTAGAAGCAAACTGCATTTCAGTGTCTGAAAAGACTGACTCTTTTTACTTGATGGTGTTATCTGGAGCAGTTGCCTTACAAGAAGGTGCCTCTCTCCCTAGGACTCACTGCAACCATACATGGTTGCCACCACAACCAAAATTAGATAAGATCTCCCCATGTTCCAGGAGGACAAGGGTGAGGTTTGACCCTGGAGGAAACATTATACTCTAAAAGAATTTAAAGGTGTTCATTTATATTGACAGAGACCTGGCATATGGATATACAGTTTTCTCAGCACCATTTATTGAAAATACTATCCTTTCTGCACTGAATATTCTTGATGCCATTATCAGAAGTCAGTTGACTATAAATACATGGATTTATTTGTGGGTTCTCCATTCTGTTCCATTGGTTTATGTGTCTGTTTTTCAGTTACTATAACCATGTAGCATGTTTTGAAGTCAAATAGTGTGATGACTCTAGCTTTGTCCTTTTCTTTTTGCTCAAGATTGCTTTGGTTATTCAAGATCTTCTGTGGTTCTTACAGTTGTGGAGTCTGGGAAGTCCAGGGTTATGGGATCGCATATGGCAAGAGCCTTCTTTCTAGTGGGTACTCTCTGCAGAGTTCTGAGGCAGTGCAGGGCATCACATTGTGAGGGGACCGAGAGGAGTGGATTCTAAGGATATTAAACCAAGGAGAACGAACTATAACACTTGATCAGTCCAGCTTTATTCATATGAATTCATTTACCAGACACTCTTCATTTAATTGTTAGCTTGTGCAGCTAGCAATTTATTCTAACAATTTATCTCTAACAATGTAGTTGGTTAATTGACTTGGTTGATTGAAACTTGGGCTCAACAGCAGATTGATATTTAATGAGACTGAGATTGTAGAATTTCCTTGGTCTGACATAGAGAAGGAATCCAAAATCTTAAGGAAATTAGAATTTGGGAACAGTCTATCATATGCTAGGCCCAGAAGATACTTCCTTCACTAAAGTATGAGAAATAGGTGAGAGGAGCATGAGTGTCTTTAAGGAGCTCTGTGGTAACTGTTGTTGTAAATGGGATACCATGGTGGGAGGTGCCACTGCAACACAATTAATCAACATTTGGTTGTCTTCTTCTTCTTCTTCTTTTGCGTGTGTGTGTGTGTGAGAGAGAGAGAGAGTTCTGCTTTTGCCACCTAGGCTGGAGTGCAATGGTGCAATCTCGGCTCACTGTATCCTCTGCCTCCCAAGTTCAAGCGATTCTCCTGTCTCAACCTCCCAAGTAGCTGGGATTACAGGCGTGTGTCACCATGCCTTGCTAATTTTTGTATTTTCAGTAGAGACAGAGTTTCACCATGTTGGTCAGGCTGGTGTCAAACTCCTGACCTCCAGTGATCCGCCCACGTTGGCCTCCTAAAATGCTAGGATTACAGGCGTGAGTCACTGCACCCAGTCTTTTTCTGTTTCTTAAATCTTCAGCTCCAAAAAGTAATCTTTCTGATTAGTTCAGGGCATAAGAGTTCATGTAGGGTGGATTTCTCAGACTTTACAAGTTCAGGTTAGTGGTTTTAACAATGCGTTTATTTATCATATTCATTATTACATAAAAAGACTCTAAAAGAAACTCTAATAATTATTTTCTTGATTTCTGGAGATGTATTCTGGCATGCTTCTCCAGAAATTAAGACGTATTTTGAAGTCTGGCCTTGGTATTAATTAGCTGAGGAACTTTAAGGAAACCATTTAACCTATCTGAGTCTCAGTTTAATCTCAAAGAGAAAATGAAGTTATACATAGAATATTTAAACATAATGCCTGGCACTTAGCAAGACTCAACAAACAGCTGTTATCATTGTTATTATTTCATTTTCCCTCTCAGGTTGTCAATTTACTTATTCAAATAATTATTTTCCCAAACGTATAGATAGGAAATACTCAACATTAACTCTACTGTTTAAATAAACCTAAATGCCTTCTCTTTCTTTATTCGGTGTTTTCAAAATTTCTGTTCTAGCAATATTTTGGCTACATCTGAATCAAATAATACGATTTTGTTTAAAACCCCAAACTTTTCCCAGCTTAAAAAGAACAGGTTATGTCTCACTAGGAATAACTCCATATTCCTTAAATATCTTGACTGATGATTACTGACTTGAGCTGAATTAATGCAAACTGCATTGAGGCTGTGGCCCAGAAAGAGAGATGTCATGTAAAGGAGTGATAGGAGTCCATTTGTGCTGATATGTCTGCTGCCCTATTGCTAGTTCTCTTTCATCCTGGGCAAGGCAATTATTCACCAAGAAAGTGGTTTTAGATCTTTCTCTCCAAGTAGAAACATCTGTTTTATGGCCAGGTGTATGGCTCACGCCTATAATCCCAGCACTTTGGGAGGCCGTGGTGGGTGGATTGCTTGAGGTCAGGAGTTCCAGACCAGCCTGACCAACATGGCAAAATCCTGTCTCTACTAAAAATACAAAAATAGTCAGGTGTGGTGGTGTGTACCTGTAATCCCAGCTACTCGGGAGGCTGAGGCAGGAGAATCGCTTGAACCTGGGAGGCGGAGGTTGCGGAAAGCCAAGATTGCACCATTGCTCTCCAGCCTGGACAACAGAGCAAGATTCCATCTAAAAAAAAAAAAGAAAAAGAAAAGAAAAGAAACATTTGTTTTATAATCTGTTGCTTATACATTCCTGGAGATTAGTGCGCCCATGTGATATCTTTCCAATATATCACTTCTCTGTGGAGTTGATCAAGAGCAGCAAGTATGACTTAATTCTCCTTCTATCCCCAGCTCTCATGCAGTGCCTGGTGCACAGTAGATGTGCAGCAAACCCTGAGTTACAACATCACTTTGGAGCCGTGGTATGTCTTGTTTGATTTGGTTTATTTAGATCAGTTTTCCAACCATCCCTGAGAGACACGCACTTCGATCAACCACAGTGAATGACTTTCTACTTTAATGATTCTCAACTGCAGAAAGGAAATGAGAAGACAGAAGGCATGCTGCTCATCTCTCCTGGGAATGTGCAGTTGCTGTTGTATTTTTGTGGGTTGTTTTTTCAGTTGAGTACTCAAATGTCCCTAGATTTTATCAGATTGTTGACAAATGAAATCATATTAACATCTACATCCAATGTCATGCTCCTATTCATGAAAAACTCTAGCCCTTGCAAAGTCCATTCTTCTCCCAGCCCCTGGACCCCAAGTGTTCCTGAGAGTCATCCGAGATGTCTTTCCTGGGTTCTCCTGGTATCTCCTAACTATCCCTTCATCACAGGCCTTCTTGCATTGGTTCTTATTGCCTACAAGAGTATCTTCATGACCACAGCAGGTAAGAAACCCTAATGCCAAAGCCAGGAGCACTGTTTTTCAAAGTTCCCATAGCTACTGACTCTGGAGGTATCAGAGCAGTGCTGGGCTCCTTTCCAATAGGGGACTGCTTCTCCTCTGTCTTCGCAGCAAGCTGTTACCTAGGCCTGCAATAGAGCTGCTCACATCCACAGCCATGCACGGCCTCAGGAAAACAGCTCCTTCAGCATCTGTCTCAAATCCTCTCTCTGTCCAGTCCTAGTATCTCGGGGTACAGATATCTTTCTATGCCTTCCACTGTCCTCTTTGTCACTTCAGTACACCAAAAAATAAACAAGCACTTCTCCCGCATCTACCAGATGACTGAGATCCCCCATATGTCAATTCAGACAAATAAGCAATGACAGGCCTCACGTTCAAACAGTAAAACTCTATATCCTCATCTGGACTCAGCTATGGCATCCTGCTACACATTTTAAGACAAATAGAAGCTTGTTTATTCATTAGTATAATGTAGTATTACACTTGGTTCATAATTGTACACCATGAACCTCTTTCTACCTAACTGTTGTAATCTAAGGTCACTTTGTTATGGTTGTAAAGTTAATAACTGGGCAACAGGGATTCTGGTTCTAATTCTTCCTGAAACCATCTGAGTGATAGTAAAGTGTACAGTTAACTGACTCGGGCCTGTCCCCCCATCCACAAAAAAAGGTGTTCAGTCCACACAGTTTCTAAAATCCCTCCTAAGCCTAATAGTGCGTGAGATTTTGTGCTAATAAAACAGAATATTATTTGTAGTGACTTTCAGTGATGTTGGTAGTGGATATGGTGTTCTCTGTCATAACAGTTTGGTATTACATTAGAATGTCAATTACTGCCTTAGTTCTAGACATGTTTCTTATCTTTTCATAGATATAACTGAGGTGTACCTACGCGGTGTGCTGTATTCTATTTATTAAAAAATATTATTTTCCCAATAAAGTGCAGATTATGTTGAATTTAGAGGGTGGACATAAAATGCATAATAAGAAAAAAAATCAACATGAAGTGCCTCTCTGAAAGTATTATCCAGCCTTAAATTGAACAGAATATATCATCCTGGATTCTCATGGCTGTCAATGCCAACGTACTACATGATACAGGCATGTGCAACTTGGTAAGCAAAATTATTGAAGCTTGTGCAAAGAAAGGCTCTCTCATATTAACAGTTTTAATATTTTACTTTGGAGTTTTATTTAAACAACCTCAGTAGTTTGCAGGACAGCTTGAGAAAGCCTTAAGAGTTTGAGACTGAATTTGATGATACTTTCTCATATGTTCGTGTACAGATAACACTGTTCACAGCGCTTTCCTACAAGACAAAAGAAAGATGAGGTATTTCAGTATAGTTGGAGAAACTAACATTTAGAAAAGTGCAAACTAAGTACTATCTACACATACATTCTTTAAAAATATTGAAAGAGAGGCTGGGTGCGGTGGCTCACACCTATAATCCCAGCACTTTGGGAGGCCAAGGTGGGTGCATCACCTGAGGTCAGGAGTTCAAGACCAGCCTGACCAACACGGTGAAACCCTGTCTCTACTAAAAATACAAAAATTAGCCAGGGATGGTGGCACGCACCTGTAGTCCCAGCTACTCAGAAGGCTGAGGCAGGAGAAGCACCTGAACCTGGGAGGTGGATGTTGCACCACTGCACTCCAGCCGGGGTGACAAAGCAAGACTCTGTCTCAAAAAAAAAAAAAAAAAAATATATATATATATATATATATATGTATATATGAGATCTATATAGACTATAGATAGGACCTATCTGTTAGCTGGTTTTGCCATGTTCTATATAACCTATATGTGGCAAATCACATATATGTGATATATTTAGGTTATATATAATGTTTATATATGTATAAAGCAAGGTATACAATTTGGAATTTGAAGTTTTTATTTAAATATTTTAAATGCCAACATTGATGCATTTTGCTATTTTACATACTCTACATTTTGTAAATGATAATACTAGCTTACATTGACGTAGTATTTTATGGTTTCAGGGCACTAATATACACATGACAATCCTTAATTCTCTCAGAAAACCTTTGACAAAGACACTGTCTACATCTTGAAGGCAAGGAATCTGAATCTGGAAGAGATTTAATGAATTGTTCAAAGTCACATAAGTACTGAATGGCAGGGGTGGAAATCCACATCCTTGGATTCTGAGTGTAGTGTTCTTCCTAATGAACTATAAAAGCTTTCTGTTTATAGGCTTATGTCATTATAAACAGCAATAAAATCAATCATCCTTGGTCTTCCCCTTGTGACTGTATAAGGAATAAAATGTACCCTTCATTGTAGAAAGAAAAAAAATCACTGTATTAAGAAATGAGTTTAGATTTTTGTAACCTACACACGAATCTTGCATATTCCCTTAGAACTATTTTATATTATGTAGAAAGTCACCTTTTTATTCCTTTTGGTAGAGGTGGGGGTTTGGGAGGAGGAAAACATGAACACACATCCTTCTACTCTGGAGAGTGGGGAAGGTGACCTGGGAAACCATCTGAAAGGGAGCAGGATGGATTGCACAAAATATAGATTGTCCAATGAAAACAACCTGACTGCTCATCCCAGTACCACCACATTTTTCTAGCTGCGTATCCTTAGGTAAGTCAATGTCTGAATTTCAGTTTCCTCACAGTTAAATGGGATAATAAGCCTTACCTTACAGGATGATTGTGGAAGTTGGGGAAATAATATTAATATATGAAAACATAGGGACATGGTAGTGACATGTAACTCATTCATACACCAAAAAAATACCACTTCAGCTTCTTATCCCTGGTCTAGATTTCCTTTTCATGTTTTTGTTTGGTGTTGAGATGGAAAAACAGTGAGAAGTTAATCCTGGAGTGGAGTAGAGGATTGGCAACAACCCTCAACCCCTGCTAAAATGTTCATTGCACAAATACATGCTTGCTTTGGTTTGCCCGTAGAATCAAAGGATTAGGCTGCATAGTATTTTCATTCTCTTTAGTTTTTTAGTTCCTCAATCCACACACATTTTATATAATACTTGTGATTATACATTTATCTCATAATTTTTTTCTCATTCTTTTAAACTACGAGAACAAGGAAAATGGCATTCATTTTCATTGTTTTAGAACAAGTTATCTGAGTGATTTTATATTAGTTGTGCAGAAGGTGGGAAGATAGAGAGGACCAGCTCACTCACCACCACCATTTTCCCATCCACCAGCTTTCTCGTTATGGTGGTTTCTTTGCCATCCCAGTTCCGAACTTGAATCAGGGACTCCTTATCTAGGGTTACTTTACTCTGAAAAACAGAAAAAACTAAATTCAGATCAGCTTGTCGTATTTCAACCCTAAAATTTTATCGGGTGACAAATTCTTTTTAGCTGTTGTAATACTCTCAGGAAGTTTTAGAATGCTGTTGACAACCCTATTTATTTATTTATTTATTATTTATTTATTTATTTTTTTATTATGCTTTAAGTTCTAGGGTACATGTGCATAACGTGCAGGTTTGTTACATATGTATACTTGTGCCATGTTGATGTGCTGCACCCATCAACTCGTCAGCACCCATCAACTCGTCATTTACATCAGGTATAACTCCCAATGCAATCCCTCCCCCCTTCCCCCTCCCCATGATAGGCCCCGGTGAGTGATGCTCCCCTTCCCGAGTCCAAGTGATCTCATTGGTCAGTTTCCACCTATGCGTGAGAACATGCGGTGTTTGGTTTTCTGTTCTTGTGATAGTTTGCTGAGAATGATGGTTTCCAGCTGCATCCATGTCCCTACAAAGGACACAAACTCATCCTTTTTTATGGCTGCATAGTATTCCATGGTGTATATGTGCCACATTTTCTTAATCCAGTCTGTCACTGATAGACATTTGGGACAACCCTATTTATTTTAAGACTTTGTCAGCCATAAATCTGTTGGCTAATTCTGCTGAAGAAAACAGGTTTTACAATAGTAAAACTGTAATATTATCATGAAGAACAAGTAAAATGTTCTTTCTTTCTTTCTTTCTTTTTTTTTTTTTTTTTTGAGACAGAGTTTTGCTCTCATCAGCTAGGCTAGAGTGCAATGGCGAGATCTCGGCTCACTGCAACCTCTGACTCCCTGGTTCGAGCAATTCTCCTGCCTCAGCCTCCCAAATAGCTGGGATTACAGGCACGTACCACCACACCCAGCTAATTTTTGTATTTTTAGTAAAGATGGTGTTTCACCATGTTGGCCAGGATGGTCTTGATCTCCTGACTTTGTGATCTGCCCACATTGGCCTCCAAAAGCGCTGGGATCACAGGCATGAGCCACTGCACCTGGCCATGAAATGTTCGTTTTATCTTTGACTGTGTAAGCAGAGTATTATCTTTCTGCATAAAGAATTACAAATACATTTTAACTTTCAAAATAAGTGTGAAACTTCAGCCTGGACAACACAGTGAGACTCCCATGTCTATAAAAAATAAAAAATTAGCCAGGTGTGGTGCCACATGCCTGTAGTCCCAGCTACTCGTGAGGTTGAAGTGGGAGAATCACTTGAGCCGGGGTAGTTGAGGTTAGAGTGAGCCAAGATTGTACCACAGCACTCCAGCCTGGGCAACAGAGACCCTGTCTCAATAAAAAATAATACTAATAATAATACATGGGAAACGAATTCAAACTCCCATTATATGAGCTTACTTAAAAGAAAGAAGGCCTCTTTCCTCTTCTTATCCCAATAATATTTTCCAGTTTGTTGTTGTTGTTGCTGTTGTTGTTTTTGGAGATAGGGTATCACTGTGTCATCCAGGCTGGAATGCGGTGGTGCAATCATGGCTCACTGCAGCTTCAACCTCCTGTGCTCCAGCAATCCTCCCACCTTAGCCTCCTGAGTAGCTGGAGCTATAGGCATGCACCACCACAGCAGCTAATCTTTGTGTTTTTTGTAGAGGCGGGATCTCACTATGTTGCTCAGGCTGGTCTCAGACTCCTGGCATCAAGCAGTCCTCCCCCTTTGGCCTCCCAAAGTGCTGGGATTATAGGCATGAGCTACTGCACCCAACCTAGCTTTTTTATTCTAGTAGATTGCTAAGAATTTAGCATAGAAATCCATATTAGGCAGTTAAGTCAAAAATTTTCTTCCATTTTATATGGTATAAGAATTTAAACTCTTATATTCATTTAGTAACCGACTATTACAGTGGCATGATAATTCCTTTTATCAGGATATTACTCTCCATATAGTTTAACAATCCTCTGTTGAGTTAATTCATTCAAATAATAAATATTTATTGAACAACTGTCATGACCAAGCACGGGGTCCTGTGACATAGACAGGAGATCCTGTTTTGGATGAGCTTACCTTCTGATGTAGGGAAAAAGACTGTAAACGATAAGTATAGAAGTAAATTACATATTATAAATAAATAATATATTCCTGAGATATGTGCCCCTGAGATATGAATGAAAACTCTGTGTGGCACTTTCAGGGTGAGACAATGAAAACCCCATGTCTCTTTGTCTGCCTTGGTGTTGGAGAAGACCACAATGTCCACAGGTACAGCTACAAGGCAGTTGAACCTCTTTTGGCCTGGATCCCTGAGAGATTAGGAGGAGCAGATTTCCTGTTTACTCCACTACACACACACAAACTTCCCCAATGCCACCCAACACTATGTATGTACTGTAAGTTAGAAATAAATCCCCATTGTGTTAACTCACTCCAGGCTTGTGGTTCATTGTTATAGTGGCATAACCTCACCTATACCAGCTAATATGAGGTTTATTCACTGCAATTCTATGTGTGGAAAACTGCTACAAAATGGGTAAGGAAAACTTTTGTTTCTGAGAGGACTAAACGGTAATCTAGAGAAATTATTCTCAAAATGTGGTCTGCTAAGCATCTGCATCAGATTCATTAAGAATGCAATTTTCAGGGCCTCTGGGGATGGCAGTGAGCAGGAGGCATTTTTCACAAGCATCCCAGAAGATTTCTATCTTCACATATGACATCCTTAGACCTATGTTTTAGACAAAAGTTTCTCTTAAGGACTTTAGATATGTTTGCTAGAATTGCTTACTTACCTAGGATGATATCTAATATTCTTATGAAATGTGTCTGAAAGACTGTCGGAGGCCTCACCTTTGTTTTGTGGCCGCCTGGTGTGATTTCCTCAAACTCTTCTCCCAGCTTAAAGGAGATCTCACTATTTTTAAAGATGCTTTTGGTTTTTATTGTGATGACATCTCCATCTGTACTGATGGTCACAGTGGGTTTTGCCAAACAGCCCAGTTTCCTGCTGGCTCTTCCTATACCTGGAAACCAGATAAAAGGAGTATTATCTTTTCATAGAAAGAATTACAAATGCGTTACATTACAATACAATACTTAAATCTGTTGTTGACTCCAAAAACTCAACATTCTCTGTATAATTCTTTGCTAACTAGGAGATTTGTGAGTTGAACAGATTTAATGCTGCGTGAGTTCCCATATCCCAAGCTAGCAGCTCCACCATTACATATTAAAATAGACTATTTTTGCAAAAAAAAAATCTGTCTCTAGTTTTTGTTTAGTGATTATTCTTTTTCACTAGTCCAGTAGTTATTAATCTTGTTGATTTTGGGACCTCTTTGAAAATCTGATTAAAGCTATCAACCATCTCCCTATTTTTAATTATATCCACTCACATACAAACAAAATACTTTGGTACAGATTTTGCCAGATATTTAGCTCTTCACTTATATTCTGACATGTATACATATATGGGTTTTTTTCCTCAATGATGTATGTTTTATTGTGGTAAAATATTCATAACATAAATTTACCGTTTGAAGTTGCAATTCAGTGGTATTGAGTACATCACAATGTTGTGTAACCATCACCATTATTTATAGGATTTTAAAAAACATAAATGTTATATCTATTGTTTTTCAACTTGCTTTTTCCCCTTATCTGTATGTCTTGAAAATTTTCCATGCCACTACATATAGATATATACTTTTTCATGGTACATAATATTCCAGTGTGCAGAGACCAAAACTTATTTTGTCTGTCTCCCTGTTGATGAGAAATTCATTTGTTTCAGTTTTTGTTATTACAAATAACTATGCAGTGAACATCCTTGTATATACAGTTCTGTGCAGCACATGTAGGAGTATTTTCAGTAGAAATAGCATTACCTATACTGCAATACCTAAGTTAAAATTCTAAGGGAAGATATATTGGGAAAATACTATAATGCAGTTCATGGGATTCATATTATAAAACATGATCACAGGGTGTGACAGATTGGATGTGGTTCCTGAAGATATTCACATCCTAATCCCTCGAACCTGTGAAGGTTACCTTTGCATGTTAGGTGACTTTGCAGATGTGGTTAATTTAAGGATCTTGAGATGGGGAGTTTATTCTGGATTATCAGAGCAGACCTCAAACATAATCACAAGTTTCCTTTTAAGAGGGAGGAAGAGGGATGCTAAACTACAGAAGAAGAGAGAGCAGAGTGAAAATGGGAGCAAAGTTTGGAGCATTGCAGGCACACACTAAGGAAAGCCAGCAGCCAGCAGAGGCTGAAAAACAAGATCTGTTCTGAACTCTATTCTGAAGATTCCTTAAAGCTTAGAGCAAATGTTTACAAAATAATCATTTTAAAAAATAGTTGTATTTTTTTTTTGTTTTAAAATATTTATCAAAATCACTTGCTGTTTAGTATATGATACATGCCTGCTTTGTTTCTGTAAATTCATGGTAACTTATATGAGGGATGATTGTCAACTCCAACGTAGTTTTGCACAGAACTATATCTTGGTACTGAATCAATATTTATTTTTTCCTATGTGAAAAATTAGGGAGTCCAAGATTAATATTATTTTATACAGAGCAAGTTCTGTGCTATCAAAATGCCCATTTTTACTGGATATGATATGCAAGTAAACATAGCTCACCCAGCTCCTTCGAGTATTCTTCAAAATTTTCACAAGAAACGGACTTCCATGTTCCTTGGAGCTGGTCAACCATTCTGTCTGAGATAAGTTGATCTCAGAGAAAAGTAGTTTCATGTGTATGTTGGTATTCCCTGAAGTAGTATGGGAACTTATTTTTAATACAATTCTGGGTAGAGAATGAAATGAGAAAAGTCAGGAAATAAAATAAGGAACTCTAATCCTTGCAATGTTCCTTGAGTATCATCTAAAGCAGAAAAGCGTTCTTAAATGTAAATAAATCAGGATGAAAATGGAAACATGGTAGAGTGTTTAGCAGAACTAGATATACCTTTTCCAACACTAATTTAGAATCAAAACTAAATGTTACTCCCCTTCCCTAGGACCTGCCAGGCACAAAGCAATATGTAAGGGCTGGGTCTGGACAGCTGTGTTTATGCCATGGAACTTTTGTGACCAGGTCTCTCTCTTTCTCTGTCCGAAGATGATTCAGAAAAAGCCAATTTATTGGCTGTTTGAAGATCATTCTCATTCTTGATAGTTTGAACTAAACACCAGAGAGACTTCATAGATGGTACTTGACATTTGAAGTAAAAAGTTAAGTTTAGTAAGGGCTAGAACAACCATCTTAAGTCATGTGCACAATGAAAAAAGAGAATGGGACAGAGAAAACAGAGATCATGTTACATACACGCGCGCACACACACACACACACAGCCCTGTTACTGACACTTTTCCAGGTGCCAGCTCAACTTCCCAAAAGCTTAGAGAGCCGTCATTGCCATGAGAACACCAAATATGTTCTAAATCCTCTTTAATTTAGGTTAGTTTCTGTTCCTTTCAACCTTGACTGTAACATCTCAGTGTCCACTGATATCTGTAAGTCAGAAGAGGGGTCAAGGAATATAATAGCAAATCCATCAGCTAGCGAAGAGGAGGCTCTGAATGCTAAGTAAAGGACAAACATGCCCTTATACATTCCATCAGCCCCTGCGGACATCATTGTTAATTCTAGGCAGAGCTTGATGTCCATCGGTTGACACAAAGTTATTAAGAAATACTGAAGTTATAAAATTATTTTAAGACAAGAATGGGGACATGGCATTTTATAATAATTCCCATTAAAATGTTAAATTTCCAAATTCTAATATCTTATCCAGGCCAATAGTCTTATTGATAATTATTCAACATTTATAAAGCAACTAGCATTGTATGCCTAATATGAGGCTAAAAATTTTGCTACACTATTGATTTAATGTTCCAGATACGGTTGGTAAAGATACCATTGTTTGGCTGGGTGTGGTGGCTCACGCCTGTAATCCCAGCGCTTTGGGAGGCCCAGGCAGGCAGATCACGAGGTCAGTTCGAGACCAGCCTGGCCAATATGGTGAAACCCTGTCTCTACTAAAAATACAAAAATTAGCTGGGCATGGTGGGGTGCATGTGTAGTCCCAGCTACTTGGGAGGCTGAGGCAAAAGAATCGCTTGAACCCAGGAGGCAGAGGTTGCAGTGAGCTGAGATCGTGTCACTGCACTCCACTGCACTCCAGCCTGGGTAACAGAGCGAGACTCTGTGTCAAAAAAGCAAAACAAAACAAAACAAAAAAACCTTAGTTCATTGGTTGGTTTTCCTGAGTAATTTGTATGACTATGCTTATTCAACTTAACAGGCATGAGGTTGAAGCCAGGAAATGACCCAACATTGAGGGTGATTTGAGTACTAAGAGTAGGCACTGAAGGCACTAAAATTCCCAAGATTTTTCAAGAAAATGTCAAATGTGCTGCCATATATGTTGGATGCACATTGATTGCCCTCCCAGAAGGAAAATTATGGTTGAAGATCACCTCCTGGAAGAAGATGTATTGGGAGCGGTGGTTTTCCCTGTTGCTGACAGGTTAGACTTGCAGAGGTGTCAGTACTGAGATGTGAGACAGAACCCATGTACAGCTTCTATCTCTCAACTGTGGCTCCACCATTTATGTGTCTATCACATCAGCTCAAAGACTGCCCAATGTCAACTGGCCTAGTCATTTTGTCTACTCTGTTGTTCAGTGCCTCTTCTATGATTGATGCTTTCTAGTGTTCATTAATATGAGAGCCAAAAATCTTCACATATTTTGCCCACTCCTATAAGTTCACACACATTCCCCTCCACCGAATATTCTTGTCTGCAATTTTTCAGTCCTTGTCCTTCCACATCCCTGACCAGCTTTTCAGATGATTCGCCTCCACCCATAAGTATGTATATATTCCCATCCCAAGCCATTGTGTCCTCCACATGACATAGGGAACAGGTGCATAACTCTGAGCTTTGTCTATTGATATGATTTTCCTTACCAGTTCCTCAAGTCCCCCCCACACCCCAAGTGTCATGAAACCACTGCCAATTTTTAACTTGCCTCCACACCCTGAGCTGACTGGTACATTAAACATGCTCAGGCTTTTTCTCCTCCTTTAGTTGGTCACATGGGACCCACATACTGTCTGGCGCATGATCTGAAGGAGGGGTGCTCGTGCTGTGGTGGTGGGTGACATGGGGATCTGCACCACCTGCTCATGCAGTTACCTTAGGACTTCTGGTCTTGTTTAGGCTTGAATCCAGATACGCAGTTTGATCTTATGATGGACTTCTGCTGGACATACCTGACTTGATGACTCTGTGGGTCTGACAGAACCCGGCTCATAATGGATAGTTCCAGATACATTGTTACTTGATATCCTATAGTCAAGAATTCTGTTTCTATGGGGCCCCAGTAACACATTAGGAACTCTGTTTTAGTAGGTGTATGAGTCTCTGTTACAGATGGCATGATCTTTCTTCACAACCCCAGATATTGGTGCTATGATGCACACACATACACACACACACACACACTCTCTCTCACACACACACACACACCATACACATTATACTGCATATTTTCCTCTCACCAATACCTCCAGCATTGTGGAGTTTACCAATCACATGACCCAAGAATCAGGGCAGCTCATATCATAGCCCTTCCTTCCTGTAGACCCTTTCCTGCTCTAGGCTCCACTCAAAGCAGGGAGCCTTTCATGCCATCCAGTACATGGGCTGCAGCACATTCCAAATTGGCAGTATGTTGCCACCATAAGCCAAAGAGTCCCACAAGAATTTTGATAGAAGAGGCAAAATATAGCAATTTGTCTTTTGGAAAAGATATCCTTACATGCCCTTGTCCAAGCTGGACCCGTAACAACTTAACAAAAGTAGAAGTTGCCTCAATCATCACCAACTTTAACTCCCATATTCTGTGTCAAATGTGTCTTACCAAGGCCTCCAGTATACTGGCCACTTCTTGTTCATCCTGCCTGATAACATGATATTGTGCCAAATGTCCAGACAGCCTAGATCTCATCTGATTATATTACAATAAAGAGTAGGAGTTAACACAGCCACAGGACAAAATCGGTGGCTCACACCTGTAATCCCAGTACTTTGAGAGCCCAAGGTTTGCGGATCACCTGGGGTCAGGAGTTTGAGACCATCTTAGCCAACATGGCGAAACCCCATCTCTACTAAAAATTACAAAAATTAGCTGGGTGTGGTGGTGGGCACCTGTAATCCAAGCTACTTGGGAGGCTGAGGCAGGAGAATCACTTGAACCCGGGAGGTGGAGGTTGCAGTGAGCCGAGATCACGCCACTGCACTCCAGCCTGAGCAACAGAGTGGGACTCTAACTCAAAAAAAAAAAAAAAAAGTATAAACGTATATCATTGTCTGTTCCATGTAAATGCAAATAGTTTCTGATCTTTCCCAATTGAGGTAGGAAAGAATGTGAAATATGGTCTGACTGAACACCATGTACCTGACAGTGTATTAATCTGTACTAACAAAGATAACACATCAAGCACAGTAGCCACCATTGGGGTTATTAGTTGATTTTTCACTAGGCTAGAAATACTCTTAAGATTCATTTGGATTTTTCAGTGATCAGACTCATGAATCAAGTGGTGCTTTGATACGAACCACTACCTTCTGCAGTCTTAAAGTAATTTTGAGTAGCCCCGATTTCTGTCATTCCTTACTCCTCCCCTGCCACCAAATACAATATTTTTTATTCACCATCTTATCTAGGACTGGAGAGAGGATAGCAGTGAAGAAGGTAGGAGTGTGGGGGTACAGTTTCAGAAGCTTCCATTTTGCCTTCCCCACCATGATAATTCTTGTTTGAATTAGAAAATGAGAAAGGGGGAGCTTACTCCAACAGCCAAAGGGTCAATCCCAATTAGCATTCAGGCCCTAGGGAAATTACTTTTGGAGGAATCCAAAGACCTACCAGACCTACTGAGACCTAGACTTTGGCCAAGGTTCTGTTTATTACCTAGCTGCTGTATGCCTTCACTCTAACATAAGGATTTGCAACTTGGTGAATCAACAATAATTCAGACCGAAGTCTATCAGAATATCTGGATATTCCTCTTTCTTCATTGCATATTTTATCAAGTAAATGATAACAGATCTCCTTTGAGGAAAATGGGGGAAATTAACAGTTTATGATATTTCAGGGTTCTTCTCTCTGTGGGCTTGTCACCTATTGAGACAAAGGTTTCCGGGTCTAAAAATTGGCTCAGATCTGGAATCTGGGCAAAGGATCATGACTTTCTACTGGGGTGCCTGTCCTTAGTCTGCTGCCCATCCATTCTTGCCTTCTTTTGATTGTATATATGAAGCAGCACCCTTGCTGGCTAAATATCTATTTTGCCTCTATGGATTCAGTGTTATTTTAATAATCTCCATAACCCCTTCCAGGTCAAACACCCTTAGCTGTGCCTTCAACCTTGCCCAATTTTATGGTGAAGTGCAATCAATCCCCTGCTTTCTGGCAGTAAAATTGCTGCCATCTGGCCCAGATTGCATCAAATTCTCTTCATTCCCATCCCTACCAATGAGCTGAACTCTGACAACCCAACAAGAGCAACTACTCTTAATGACGCTGTGGCCCCTCTCACCAGTGCATTCCTGATGGCCCAGTAAACATGAAAGAAACTTCTGAATTTTCTTACGGAATTGCTTTTCTGACATGTGTACACATATATATGCACACATACACTTTTTCTTTCTATAGAAAAGTATTATGACTGTATTTATCCATAACAGAAGTACAGATCTCATAACTTTCCTACAAAGCAGGAGAGGAAAGCCCCACCATGCAAGACTTTCCAGCCTTTTGGCATATTAAACTTGAATTATTTCAACGAAGCAATTTGAAGTGTCTTGGAGCTGGACAAGACATAGTGGGCACTCTGTAGATATTGGCATGCAAGGAGAACTCAGGCCTTACTCATTCGATAAACACTTGAGTGCCTACTAAAGGAAAGATCCCTAGGATAGGTCTTTCCTACCACTGAGTATGTAATGGGGATTGAAAGAGACATCCAAAATATTTCCAACTCTGTGAAAGAGAATCTGAAACTATAGTAAATTCCTTAATGTTTCCATGTGGATATCTAGCGATATAGTAGACACCTGGAGAACAAGTTGATATTTTAGATCAGGGGTTGGCAAACTATGACCCATATACTAAATCCAGCTGCCACATGTAGATAAAGTTTTATTAGAAGACAACTACACTTATTCCTTTACATATTATCTATGGTTACTTTTGTGCTGCAATAGTGAGGTTGAGTAGTTATAAAAAACGTATGACCAGCAAATATTTTTTCTGGCTCTTCACAGAAAAAATGTTTGTCAACCCCGGTTTTAGAGTCTCAAGTGAGAATTTTTAAAACTTGGGATCATAACTTAACAACTACTATAGACTTTCTTTTTTTTGGGATAGAAGAATGGTGGATACCATTTTTCATTTAACAGATTTTTCATCAAAAGACATTTTTATAATTATGTCATGGATAATGACAACA